GAGAGCAGTTTCTGGTTTGATATTTATTCTTTTATTAGTCTTTTATTATTCAACAAAAATAACACTTGGCGTCCTACTTGTTTTATTATACAAACGACCGGTTTCAATACACCGGCGGCATTTCTCATTTTATTAAAGCACTGAGGTTACGACAACTTCGAGTTAAACTGATTTCACGGGTTATCAAAGAGTCCAGCGATTCCCTTTTCCCAAGTGAGCGCCGACTCATTTTGCTTCAATATTCAGGAATGCTCCCGATCTCTACGCTTTCATTGCCTTTCGCCCGACATGTTTTGCACTGCGTTTAGTCATGCGAAACCTCCACGAAACATCCACGCAGCGCGGGAGGTAACTTTATCCCGATTCTAAAAATAACTCGAGATGAATTACCTATGGAATAGGGTGTGTATATGGGGGATACCTTCTCTGTCCCCTTTATCCTCTCTTGGTTCTACCTATGACAGTCTCAATCTATGTGTTATGTAACAGTATTGTATAATCCTATAACTTGACATTATCAAGACTGTTTTGAGGTCCAGGAAGAAAAAAGTGCTTATTTTCTGATACCAATATGTCCTCTCTATAGCACACATAATACGCTAAGCTCCGTATAGACACAACTAAATTGTTCACGAACAAACCGTTTAAAATAACTTCCTTGAGCTTACGGCATCTTTGAAGCAAAAATACAAAGGAGCGCTCGATTTCGAAGTTGTTTGTCGAGTGAAAATAATTAACACATATCACTTGTAAGTCAATGCAATTTATTGCAAGCGAACGTATAATGTTCTCTGTACCCAAGAGTTCGTTGCCTGCAAAGCTTAACAGTTGAAGCCGGGGCATACGGGGTAAAAAGGTCTCAAAATAAACAAACGCTCTGATGGGATAGATGAAATATCTAAGCAGGTAACACTCGGTCAGTGAAAGAGCAAATCACTGACGCTTTGAAAGGTAACTGGATAGCGTCGATGAAGAAAGAAAACCTTTAACAACGGAAAGCCGTCCACTATGAGACGAAGAATTTCATCGGTCAGCGCCAACTTCAAGTAGCGCAGGCGCTTTAGTTTTGGTAATATCGCCGAAATACCGGAAAATGACAGTCGATAACAGCTTAACACGTTTAATTCGATGATGTTAGTGTGTTTTCCCAGTCGGCTGTTCCTAAGAATTCGTCTTTTATCTGGGTACCTTCTAATATGAGCGTCTTTAAATGAGGGTGCAAATGGGGTTAACAGTTAACTGATATTTGGCCAAAAAATTAGTAGTTCACTGATAAATGAAAGTTAACAGTTAAGTGACATTACATATATTTTAATGAAAGCAACAAAGTTTTGCACCCAGAAATGCTGTTTTCTGACATTTTTCTGTCCCGCTGATGACCAGGTGGCACATTAACTTACATTACTATGTGCAAAAGGCACATCAGTGTAGTACCTGACAAACAGAAAGCGTCAGTCAAAGAGCTGGTTGTAGACAACTAAACTAATAATTCGTTTTCTGATATTAACAAGATTTATGTGTTCGAAAAAGGAAAATACTGTTTTCACGGCCCCAAAAGATCGTCAAGTTGAACATTACCCAAATAAAAGAGCTGTGACTCTTAGCATTGGTTCTGGCTAAAAAGCATTTCTGAGGGTTCAAAGAAATCAGCAGTCTTTCTTTCAAGTACATGGAATTTGTACTTACGAGAAATCATTTTCGTAACTGATGTTGGAGTTCTAACTATTGAGAATTTTTTAATAGAAATAAAAGTTCGTGTTTAAACCGGTCTTACTGAAACAGTTGCGACAGTTTCATTTCTTAAAACCCTTGAATATCTTTATGAGGCTTTTGAAATATACGAATAAGGTACGTCTGCGAAAAAGGTAACACTGCGGGATGCGGAAGAGGATGTCGACAAAATCTATATCGAGGTAAACAAAAATTCTGACAACGCAGGTGGAAAACCTACATGCGGTTTCTCACTTCAAAACAACACATTTCGTGCTTTAAACTACGCCCAAGACTTTGGAACCATAGTCAGTAAAGGAATCGCTTAAAAGACTACGAGTTCGAAGAGGGCTACACTCACGAAATAAAAGTCGAATTGCCCCGTGCCAAATACAGTGACTGAATTCACCAATTGAATTCCAAAAATAATGGTTCAGTTTTGTTATTTAAGACTATATTTTGGCATTGATAATGTTTCTCGTTGTCTGTTGCAATAGATTGCAAGGATTAAAAATTGATTGAAACTTAGGCCAACAACACGAGACAGGACATACAGCAACCAGATAAGTACAAGACTGATTCCGATCAGATAGTGAAAGGGCCGAGGAAGGTGACTTTGAAGTAGTTTATAGCAGGACATGCATGACCATATCAGGAAGATCAGTATGAGACCATGACTGCTGCGTCTGGATCTATGAGGATGGTGTCATATTGATGGTTATACGACTTATATTTTCAGTTACTAAGAAACTGTACTAGTGCCAGAGTTCATGTAAATTTATACCTTGATTTTATTAGGACCTACCCCCAAAAGTGATTGACTTGCTGCAAGAAGGAAAATTCGGGTTATGACGAAATAATATTCGCTGTAGGAAAGTGAAAGTTAATAGCTAACCAAAATAGTAGTTAACTGATTAAGTTGTAGACAGTTTTTAAGTGTACATTTGGCCGAAAAAACAGTAGTTAACTGAGAATTGGGTTACCCCCATTAGCCTCGATTAATTGCCTCGATTATGTTCGCCCGTTTTTAATTTTTTTTCACCGAGTGAGACTGGGTCGAGAAAACCACAGTGGTCATAGCAACCGCCGAACGCGAACATTGCCGTCCATTTTGGAATGCTGTCAAGAACGATCGAATCTTTATAATCGTTCTGAATCTAATTTTATTACAATCAAGGAAGTATTTTAGCGGTATATGATGAGATTTTTAGTGCTTCAATGAAAGCGTGTCTTCGTTCACGAGATGGAAGCTGTCTACACCAACTCCGGCACCCAATCACAACAATAGGATGTGAAGGCAGCGCTAGCGATGTGATTATTCAGGTTAGTAACGATTAGCTAAATAATTATTATGATCTCTGTTAGTTTTTCAAAATTAGAATAATGTCGAGACATACCGATAGAGCAGTGATAACTTCTAAGGAACTACAACCGTCTTATTTATTGACTGAATCTGTCAGTATACTTAGGAAAAGTTTCGAAAAAGTAAGCTTCGTTTTCTTCGCTCTTGAATAACTACACAGGTCACTGAGTCGCAATTTTAAGCTGCTAATTAACTTAGTTAAACAGATATCAGGTTCGAAATTGTCTTCAAACAAACTTCCATAGTAATTTTTTTTCAATAGCTGTGAACCACCTCGATATAGGTGTATGTGTTAAATTTTCTTTAGGGTCTTTGATCACATTGAATAGTTGCAACTGGTTGCTCCGATTGTACGTTGTTGAAATACGCCTCGGATACTAATTACACACGATTGGAAACACCACTTAAATCTTCGATATCAATTCAAAGTACAGTACTTCTTTCAAGAGCTCTTATTAAAGATGGCAAGAATTTTCAACTTCAATTCAATTTATTTATTTCCCACTTCAAAATCTAACCAACCTAATCCTAACTTGACCAGTTATTTAGTTTACATCACATGATTCGGTGAAACCTTGATATGGACACCAAAGGAACAGAGTCTAGTGTCATATTACAGAGGTTGGAATTTTTCATTGCACATAAAATCTATTCTCAGGTTAAACTAAAGAATTTTCTCTGTATGCTAATTGCATGGTTAGGGTCAGGTAACATTGAAAAATTCGTAATAAAACTACAGTGTTTACTAACCAGGTTTCACCTAATAATAATAATAATAATACTTTTTTTCGAGGGTAGCATTTAATATCTCTTGATAATCTACACATGGCCCTCAGGAAAAAAAAACACAATAATCAATCAAGAAGCTATGATTCATAGGTGAAATTTTTAAGATAAAAAAACTAAGGAATTGCTAAGGATTGTCCATTACCATTTGCGAACTTTAATTCGCTTAAGTTTGCTTTTGAAAGACGTCAAGGTAGAGTCTTTCAGCTGCTCGGGAAGCCTGTTCCACAAGCTTCCAGCACTGAACACAAATGACCGCTGTCCGATGATTGTTTAATTCTGGGCAACTTTAAATTTCTTTTGCACTGACTCTTAAAAATGTCCCTGCATGATGTAGCTATAGGCAGCAGACCATTTAATGCCTTACAAACCATCTTTGCCTAAAGTTTTGTCACTCACTGTTGAAATGATCGAGAGAATGTTAAGATCGCTGAGTAGACAACAACAACAATAATATTAATAATCTGTAATGAGGGTGCATTACTCACAAAAAGATTGTTGTGTGATAAGGAAATAAATATGAAAATTGGAAATGTCCACATATCCATCATGGCACAAAAGGAGGGGGACAATTCCACAATTGTGATGAGTGCCAAGCGTGCATTGTTGTATTTGTCATTAAGATTAGGGTTACGTAATGTGTCAACATGAATATGTAATAAGCAGGATATTTAAGTTACTTCTTGTCTTATTAAAGAGAGCTTATTTCCCATGTATCGCTGTCTCTCACAAGTGTTTCATGGTGTCAGGAATATTGTAGCGAACCTACGTGTTTTATTTTTTACTTGCGCTGCTGGGAGGCAATTTAGGGGCTGGTGCATTGCCGAATTCGTCTGCAGATACGTCGAATGTTAGAGGTGCTTTGTTTGCTTTACCACCGCCTCCACCGCTTGATATTCATGATTCAAACGCAGCAGCAAAGTGGAAGGAGTTTGAGCTGAAGCTTGGAAGAATTTACTCAATTGCCATGAAGTTGCATCAGGAACCCAAAGCGGTACAAGTTGCAACATTGCTTTCCGTAGTCGGAGCTGAAGTGTGGAAAGTTTTCGCTATGTTTACGGATTGGGCGAGCGACACCTACCAAAACAAGATTCAGCCTGTGTTGCAAAAGTTTGCAGTGTACTATCAGCCACTTAAAAATGTGCCTTTTGAAAGATATAAGTTTTATTCTAGAATGCAAGAATCGGGAGAGTCTTACGATCACTATCAGACAGCTCTTCGACAGTTAATTACGTTAGTTGAAAGGTGCGAGTTTGAATCGATTACCCCCTATCAGATTTTACGTGACAAGCTCGTGTTTGGAATATTTCGCGATTCAAAGGTTCGTGAGAGGCTTCTCCATGAGAAGAATTTGTCGTTGGAGGAAACTGATGAGATTTGTCGTTCTCACATGACCATGCTACAGCAGATGAGGGTTGTAGGCGATGCCGGTTTAAGCGTTGCAGATGCCGGAAACGTGAATGCTGTGTCTAAAAAGCCTAAAAGAGGGAAACGTAGGTGCAGTCGTGGCTCAAGAGATGCTAACACGTAGGGAAATAGTTGTGAATTTTGCGGACATGAGCAAGACTTAGCGAAGCGTGAGGACTGTCCAGCTTTTGGAAGGAGCTGCAATAAGTGTGACAAGAAAAATCATTTCGCGAACGTATGTTTTGGAAGTGCGCCAAAGCCCACGACTCGCATGCATCCTGTGTGTTGTTTTGAAGATGAGCTTTCGGACAAAGTTTTTGGAGTGGAAGAAATTTCGGCTGTAACGTTGGATGATTCTCAACTGGTAACGCTGAAGTTGGAATCTGGAAATTATCTTCGTTTTCAGCCCGATACCGGAGCTCAGAGCAATGTTGTCCCTTTGCATCTATACAAGAAAGCCACTAATTAAGGATGTTGATTTGTGCAATGTGACCCCTGTCAATACGCCAATCATTTCATATGGTGGTACTTCAATTCCTATCCTCTGGAAAGTTCATTTGCGTGTATGGCATGGACATTTCAGATGCCTGCTTGACTGCAATTTGGTTGACAGCAAGAAAGTCAGACCTATTCTTAGCAGGAAAGCGTGCCTGGGAATGAACATTATCCAGTATCTAGACAATGACCAGTTAAACCGACCGCAGGAGTTCGATGGTGAAGTTTATACACTAGATGTTCCGGCCAGTTCCCCGGCCTCCGCTGACCAGCTGATTAAGAGCTTTCCTCGTGTCTTTGCTGATAGCACGGGTGCACTTGCGGGTGAATACCACATGGTGCTGGATGAGTCAGCTAGCCCAGTTCAACGTCATCCTCGCAGAGTTCCAGTTGTGATCCGTGAACGTCTTAGAGAGACCCTGGAAGATTTAGAGAAGCGTGAAATTAATGCTCGAGTGACAACGCTCACCCCTTGGATCAGCTCAATAGTTGTCGTACCAAAGAAGAATGGCAAATTATGCATATGTTTGGATCCAATGGATCTTAATCATGCTTTGCAGCAGGAAAACTATCCTATGCCTACGATTGAGGAAAGCTTCCCATCTTCACGGAGCTTAAGTTTTCACATCGCTTGATGTCTCCAACGAGTTCTGGCACGTTGTTCTTGATGAGGAGTCTTCGTTTTGTACTACTTTTAATACACCGTTTGGGAGATACCGCTGGAAAAGGATGCCGGTCGGGATCAGATCTGCACCTGAAGTGTTTCAGCGTAAAATGCATGAGTTGATTGAAGGGTTGAGGGGTGTTGAGTTCATCGTGGATGATTTTGTTGTTGTCGGTTATGGTGAATCGTAGCAGTCTGCAATTAAGGACCATGACAGGAATCTTCTATCATTTCTTCAGAGATGTGATGAGCGTGGAGTTCATTTGAACAGTGACAAGTTGCAGCTTAGAATAAAAGAAGTCCCTTTTATTGGTCATGTGGCCACCGGTGAAGGTCTTCGCCCAGATCCATCTAAAGTTCGGGCAATTCGCAAGATGCCCCCACCGGAAAATGTAGCTGGCATTCAGCGAATCCTTGGTATGTCTCAGTACCTTAGTAAGTTTCTGCCACGTTTGTCTGATATTACAAAGCCACTGAGAAACCTCACCCACCAAGATGCTGAGTGGATCTGGGATGAGCCGCAACAGAGTGCGTTTGAGTGCCTCAAACAAGCAGTTTCCGCTACGCCTGTGCTGCGTTATTACAATCTGAAAGAAGATGTTACCATTCAATGTGACGCATCTCAGCGTGGCCTTGGTGTGGCATTACTACAAGGTGGGCAGCCTGTGGCATATGCATTGTGCACGTTGACTGATAAGGAAGTAAATTACGCCCAGATAGAGAAGGAGTTGTTAGTGATTGTCTTCGCGTGTGAGAAGTTTGATGCATACATTTATGGCTGTGATTGTGTTTGAGTGCAGACAAATCACAATCCCCTCAAGTCCATTTTCCGGAAAGAACTTTGTACAGCCCCCAAGCGTCTTCAGAGGATGCTGCTCAGGCTGCAAAAGTACAGTCTGGATGTCACTTACCTGAAAGGAGAGAAGATGTTGGTTGCGGACACTAAGCTGTGCCTATTTGCCTGAAGTCAATTCCTGTATCTTTTTTTCGGGAGCTGGAAGAGGTTGACCACAGAGCTAACTTACCTGTAAGTGACGAGCGTTGGCAACAGTTAACCCATGTTTCGGCTGATGATCCAGTTCTGAAGCAGTTGCACACTGTCATTCAATGTGGCTGGCCTGAGAGAAAGTCTGACGTTCCTATGTGTCTTCGACCCTATTTTGATCTGCGTGAGGAGCTGGTTGTTCAAGGTAACTTATATTGGTATCGAGGGTTGTTTGTGGCAGGTTTGAGAATACCTCTTTTGGCCTATGATGGCGTCCGATGTCAAAGATTATGTTTCCAAGTGTGACGTCTGTTTGGCTCATCGTACGTCCCAACCTAAGGAACCGCTTCTTCAACACAAAATAGTTCCAAGACCATGGGCCAAGTTAGCCGCTGTCCTGTGTGAACTGCATGGGCGTACTCTTTTGGTTGTTTTTTATTACTTTAGCTACTACATCGAAGTGGCGCATCTTTGCTCTACCACAATGCAAGCTGTTGTTCACGAGTTGAAGACTATGTTTGCGCGTTTTGGGATTCCTGAGATCCTGGTTACAGATAATGGGCTGCAGTTTTCTTCTAATGAGTTTCAAGTGTTCGCAAAGAGTTGGTCTTTCAATCATGTCACTACAATCGCCTCGCCACCCTCAGTCAAATGGCAAGGCTGAGAATTCTTTACGGACAGTGAAACGTCTGTTTGAGAAATGCAAAGAAACCAGTGTGTCAGAGTGTCAAGCTCTACTTGACTTTCAAAATACACCTCCTGAGGGAATAGATACCAGTCCTGCACAGCACCTGATGAGTCGTCGATGTCGTACACTTCTGCCAATGTCGGAGTCTCTTTTAAGACCAAGTTATCCACTACAGGGTGATGTGCGTGCGTTGGCCGTAAGGAAATGGCGCCAAAAGAATTATTATGATTGGCATGTGAAGCCTTTAAAGTTCATCAACCTTGGTGAGTCTGTGCGTGTGAGGCTTCCTGGTGAGAAAGTTTGGTCACCTGCCGAGTGCATGGGTTTTGCTGGTCCGCGCAGTTACCTGTTAAAGACTGGTGATGCTGTTTACCATCGTAACCACCGTGCCATTTGACTTGCTGAGCACAGGAGAACCTCCTGTTACTGATCAGTTTGATTCGCCTGTTACCCCTCAGTCCAGTCGCAGTAACGCAGAATCCCCTGGAGGAAATTTGCCTCCGCCTGATGTACCTGAGTCATGTGTGCCCTCTGTTCCTGAGTCAGTGCCAACATCAAACAAGGTCGACAGGAAACTCCATCTCCTGTGCCCTCTTCTGTGCCGCCAACTAATCTTCGATGATCGCAGAGAGAAAGAAGGCCCCCGAAAAGATTTCAAGACTTTGTTGTAAACTAACGAAAAGATTTCAAGACTTTGTAGTGTTTTGGTATACAAGTTTAAGAGGGATAAATTGAGCTGTTTGTTTATGTATTCTATTCGCGTTATTCTCTTTTGTAAGAGGGGAGGTGTGACAAGTGCCAAGCATGCATTGTTGTATTTATTATTAAGATTAGGGTTATGTAAGGTGTCAACGTAAATATTTAATAAGTAGGATATTTAAGTTACTTCTTGTCTTATTAAAGAGAGCTTATTTCCCTCGTATCGCTGTCTCTCACAAGTGTTTCAGCAATACCATTAAAAAAATGGCAAATACTGAAATGCCATGTCGAAAGGAATCAACGAAATGCCAATACCGCATTGTGATTGGTTACGCTTACTTAAAGTAGTGTCCATCTCATGTGTTTGTTTATCTCAAGCATGTATGTACCAGCAATCAGCCGTTGCAAGAAAACAGGAGAAGACCTCGAAGTGATTGGCATAACGATCAAAAGCCCAGTCACTGGATGCGCTACCAATTTCATCATAGATTAACAGTCAGAAATTGTGTAGTTATTATTTAGCATTAAGTCTAAAGTCTTAAAATATTGACCAGCATTGGACATAAAAATCTGAATTACAGATCGAAACACCGCTTTAAAAAAAAGCTTTAAATACCAAAAACCTCCATTTCTCCCTCCAAAATGCCATGACAAAAACTTAACTTCTTTTGAAAGATGTAATCAATAAAATTCCCTGCATATTTAGAGGGTTACAATTAACATTTTAATGATAAGTATTGTTTAAGCTAGTTGCACTATTCAACATTTTGACAAATTGTGAAAGAGCTGGTAGGTTAATTAAGCTATGCATTGTAATATCTAAGATTTTGGGGACTGGTAATTAAAGCTAGTTGGTCTAAAAGTTTAGTTGTTACATAGTGGATATGCTTGATCATAAAGTTTAACTTTAAGCAGAACTTTCTTATTCTTTCATCAAATAAATTATTTTTAAAATAAATAGGAGAGCTCTACATTGTAGTAGTTTGGGACGGGGTAATGTTCATACCTGGGTTAATTAACTTGATACCCCAGGATTACTGCAAACATTTGATTTTGAAAGTCAAAATAATTATCTGACAACAATTTTGAACAAAAGATAAAGGAACCCACTGGCAGATTAAAATTTAATCCCACATTAGTGCTAAATTATCAGCCTTCAAGCAACTCAGGGCCCTGGGGGCTAACTGTGTGGTAGTTGAGTTGTCTGATATTTGTATTTTAATAATAAATTAATTAATATCTGCAATAGTCAAGTGTTTGTAGGGAAAGGTAATTATGCTGTATTAACTGGGCCTTTGAAGCTCAAAATTATTTTCGTTACAAATTCTCTAGACTGATCTCCATACATTTTGTTAAAGAGTTAGTTGAGAGAATTTGATAAAGGATCAAAGCATTAATATTAATCTCTTTAAAGTGATCATTTTACTAATTCTCATAACCTTCTCTTGATGCATCAATTTTGTTGGTAAAAGATTAGTTGTTGTTGGTCACTCTTAGTTTTTATTTATGAATAAATAATAATTATGTAATTTACAACTGATTGTAACTTCCAGGTGCCCAGTTGCATGTATGGAAGGCAATGAAATTTACAGTGTAGTTTACCTTTTTCCTTTATTTTTCATCATAGTGTTCTAACGTGGAGCGGCAGCATGCCTTTATAGAATACAATGAGGCAGAGGGTTGTTTTGTGGTTCAAGATCTAAACTCAGCTCATGGTACTTATGTAAATGATTGTCGTGTACAGAATGCAGCTGTGAGACTTGCCTCCGGTGATGTAATAAGGTTTGGATTTGGTATCCTTTTGAAAATGACAACAACAGTAAAACAAAGTGTGTGGTGAGTGTAGTCCTAATTAATGTCCCAATATGACTGTTGTTGACAGTGACTGACGTTTTGACAACCTTAAGTCATAGTCAGAGTCAAAATGAGTTGTATCTTTTCAGTTGATGATATGTGATATTTTGCTCGAATTATATAGTTAAATGAATTTACAGTGCATACCTTGTATTTGATTACACAACTTCCTTAACATGCATACAACTAAACAGGAAATGTAGGTTTTGAATTTCTTGTTGACTCATCCTCAACACTTCATTACCCATCCTTGGGTCTGTCTAAGCCATGGGAATCATACAGACTCCGTGTTCTGTCATCACCAATGGCAACATTACCATCAGGTGGAGTCACCTCCCTTCCTTATATCAACACTGTGACACCAGTGAGTACTGATGGTGTACCATTGTATACCACAAGCACTGAACCAGTCAGTTTGCCTGGGACTGGTGGCTCAGTATCAGAAGTAAGATGCCCATCTGATCCAAAGGTTAGTAAGTTTTTCTGAATGCCAGTGTGCAACGAAAGTCATGTCTTAAAACTTGGGGCTAGTGGATTTTGTGATTGGGGCTAGTGAATTCTGTTCTTAATTTGCCTGACAGGCAAGGGAAGATACATCCTCGGAGACCCAGGGGCAGATAAAGGGGGCGAGGGAAAGTCTAAACAATGTCTTACCAGACCAGTTCCAAACGGTCGCCGCGGTTCTGGCTTCTGATTGGTGCCAGAAAAACTTGTGCCATATTTTTCCGCCCGTTTAGACTTTCCCTCGTCCCCACTATCTGCCCCTGGGTCTCCGAGGATGGTGAAGATATTTGGTGAAATTGAAATTAAAAGATGCTGAGGTAGATTATTCAATCAGTGACAGGGGAGGCTTGAAAGAAGAAACTCAGTACTCCCATTAGGAGTGGAACCTATGACCTTGTGGTTATTAGTTCCGATGCTCTACTACTAAGCTACATGAGACTCTTGTGAGCTAAGGCTACTAATTATAAACCAGGTTCATGTGACAAACATTCCATACTGCGTGGACTAGAATGTTGATATGTGATAGAAATGTGATGGCGAATTTGAGGCCTGGTATATATGGTACAGGTCAAAATTAAATTCAGGTAAAAGGTTGATTCTCAATTTTCCTTGTCTCCTAACCCTAATTATTCATGCATTAGGGCTAGGAGACAAAGAAAACTGAGAACCAACCTGGGTGAAAATTTTATCCTGAATTTAATTTTGACCTAGTTGTAACAAATATACAGTCAAGAGGTGTTTATTTACTAAGTCACACAGGCAGCTCTGAAAAAAAATCTGAGTGCTCCCAAGGAGCAAGGAGTGGAAACTATGATCTTCTGGTTACTAGACCATGCTCGATAAGGCCATTAAACTAGGTTCTCCCACAAGTCTTCTTTACTCTGTGGCAGGATTTGCTTATTGTAGTGTGGTTGTTTTTCAGGCTAATGTTATGCCGCACCCTCCTCTGAGATCTCGCCCAACAAGTGCTGGTGCTACCAGGACTCGACCCAGCTCTGCTGGCAGAGAAAGGATACCTGGTCCTCCTGTTGCTAGAGGTAACTATCATCATTATTATCATCCAGCCTTTTCAGTTGGGATGCTGTGAATAATGATCTTATTCCATGCATTCCCCTCTGACATCGTGCTCGCAAGGTCTTCCCTGTTAATTCCGGAATTTCTTAAGATCATATTGGTGAATGAACACAGCCACTTAATTGGTTTCTGTAGAAGAAGGGATTGAATAATTGCCCCCTGCTAAAACTATAATATACAATATTATATGATAGTGCAAAATACAGGAGGAAGGAGTAACTAAGAAAATGTTTAAGTGAAGTTGGGCAGCCAAAGAAGAATATTACATTTCCGTTAGCAAGAAGTTTAAGGAGATTAGTCCAAAAGTAAGAAAGGAGAGGAAATAGGGTTTTCAGGAGTCGAATGTTCACCAAAAACGGTACACTGCCCTGTATACTATTTAGGAATAGACTAATCAATTTAGTCATTTTTGATTGAAAATGAATTTCTGAATATGACTGGACTAGTCTGGCCAGTCTGCAGTTCTGCTAGAGTTAAAGTTACAAAGATTTGTTTATTTTGGTTGCTTATTTGCTTTATTTGCAATGGGTTTTCATGGTTTTATTTAAGATCATTTTTAAAATGAAATCCTTGCAGCAATTTTTTGGTAGCTTTTACTACACTGACTTAACCATATGAATGTGAGAATTTTAACAAAAAGACATAGCATGGAATAAGGACAATTACCTGTATGCAGTAGTAGTAGTAGTGGTAGTAGTAGTCCCCAGAGATTGAAATCAAACTTCTTATGTTTCTTTAAAATTGCATGCCAACATTAAGGGCACTGCAAAATCTCTGTGTTACTTTCCTCTAAAGTATTCATAGGTGGGAGAGGACTGGGGTTAGGTTAGGGAGCCCAAAAGGATAGGTAGCACGAGGGATATTAGTCAGGGGGGTAGGGAGCCCAGAAGGATAGACTGCAGGAGGGATATGAGTGGGGGGAGTTCTAAAAGTGCTGGAAGTCAGAGCTTGCGTGTAATATTTTGCAATTGAAAAAAGTCTAAAGGGAGGAAACCCCGGGGATGGTACTCCCTTTTAGAAGCCATATAGATATGTACTGCCTCAAAGGGTAGGGTTATTGGGCCGTTTCAGTCTCAACTAAAAAAGGGTATAGACTTTGCACATTTTGGTCTGGAACCAGGAATGGTTTTCAAGGGAACTACGGGAGTGTATAAACGTATTTGTCATTTTAATTCCAAATGAACAAGAAAGCAGGATAACACGCTAATTTAAAATGGATTTTAAACAAATGTAAGTAATTTTAGGTCTGAAAACAGGTGTGGATAATGAAAGTTTTTGTCTGAAATAAGATCAGGATTTTTAGAACCGGGTGGCACATCCCCACCAAGATTTCCCAGAAATACCCAACTGGGGGAGGAAGGCAAGAAAAAAGGGGCAGGGCCCAGTAATGCAAGGTATGGGAGGTAGGAAGTTTAGCACCCCCTCCTGTCCCCCCTGATAATAATGCTGAGACTTTCATGTCAATTGTCTCCTGAATTTACAGGTGGATGGATTAATGGTCCAGTGCAGACAACAGGGGAGCAAAGCATTCAAGATCTGGTAAGCTTCTTTGAGCTACAGTGAAATTTGTTGTCTCAAAACCGTCTAGGGGGGTTGATGGTATGTAAGCTGGGGAGCCAAGCTCGGCGGGGTGTGCTCCTTATGATGTCCTATACAGGGAGGCTCCGTGTGAAAGGGGTATCTTTTTCAGCCATCAGGTATATGAAAGGGTAGGGATTTCACTCGTTGATGTGTATTAAAGGGTAGAGAAATCTGTCATTTGGGTCTGTAAAAGGGCCCAAAAGATCTAACAGATGAATTTTATGTCTTTATAAAGTCGACAAAACGTTCTGTTGGGGATGCAAACTTCTAAACAAAATTTGTGAAAGGGGTACCATTTGTCAATAGGGTGTATACGAAAGGGGTACCTTTTTCGTGAAAAATGGTATATAAAACGCAAGGTGTTTGACCTCGAAGTGGAGCCTCCCCGTATAAACACTTGTTCAGTACACCCTCCCCCCCCGGAAGCAAAGTCCTTGTGTAGAGCTATGAGGTATTTGGAATGGTTTTTGGGGAGGGCACGGATGCTATAGAAATATCATGTTACCTAGTAGGCTTATTAATCGTTTAAAATTGTCTCACAAAAATCTTTGTCATTGATTGCTTTGTTTCAACTGCACACTGCTGGTCAGGTGATGGTGTCAAGTAAGGACCAAAATAATGTTAGTAATGTATTTTGTAATTGCTTCAGCTTGGTGCATCATGGAAGCCACAATGCATACTGAATATTTTTCAGGACAAAGGCTTAGCACGGACCCTTTTTTGACCTTGAAATTTATCCTTTTTTACATCGTATACGGTTCTCAATTTTAGTGTAAAAAATTGAATCAATTTTGTCGGCTTACTTTTCCGACTAAATACCCTCAGAAATTGTTGTGTCAAAACTTTCCAAATCTTATCCTTATCTTGCCTATCTTGTGTCACAGTTTGTTTTGTTTTTGTTTTTATTTTATTTTCTCCAGGAGGAGCGTCTGTTACGCATGGGTGATGAACTGAGCCGACTAGCTTCATACGAAGCAGAGTGTCATCGTAAAGATGGCGTCATTGCAGCTCTGAGAGATGAGGTTGTAGATCTGAAAGGAGCTCTGCAGTCGAGTGGCAGTTTCAGGTACATTTGCTCTTGTTAGTGTCCACTTAAGATAGTGGTTAGCTTGTTCCAGGCTCCGAGATGGCCGGGTCCGTGAGAAAACGCGAATGCGAAATTTAAACGGGAGGTAACCTCCTTTTTCCAGATTATGCGCTCATATTTTCGCGCGCCTTTCACTTACGCGTCATCCCTGCCATCTGATAATGTAGTGATCTGAGAGCCTGGGACAGGCGAGACAGTGAGTGATCCGCCTTCATAATGAAGGTTTTCCTTTAATGAAAAACAAGCTCGTTTGCAGTTTTTAATAAAGATTTTATTGCAATTTGTTCTGAATAACCTTTACAAATATGTTGAAAACGTACATCAGAAACAATGGTCGTGTTATCTTGTCCGGTTGAAAGTGGTTCTTTGCAGTCAATAAAGTAACTAACAACTGGTACAACTTGGCAATGAAAAAGACCAAAAACAGCTAACGTTGCTTTTGTCGAATTGGTATCCGCATTTGACATGAAGCGACGCATACCTTAACGGCACATCTTTTGTTTCTAATTCTGGTGTGTTGTTCTAGTCAACAATAAAGTGACTGGTTTTGAACAAAATACAAATTGCCTTTTGGAGTCCATTTTTAAACATGCTTTACTTATATTGAAACGCGGTTTCTATTCTAACAGGAGACACTATTCCTACCACACTGACTACTGCCTGTGTACGGTCGGTCGCTAGATTCCAGAATTATTCTCTTTTGATTTGAGCCATGATTCGGCAAAAAATGGTTAATTCTGAGGTCACTAACAAAGCAACATGAAACTTGTCAGTCCTGAAATTGCATGTAGAAATGCTGCAAGGGACTCTTTAATGAAAATGAATCGGGTAATTGCTGTCTCGCTTAGGGTTGGAAATTGCAGATTTTCAGCTTTCACGTAAGGTGCGAAAGAAGGAAAGAATGACATTTAATATTCATTCTTGTAAAGGTGTCGCTCAGGTTGGTGAGCAAAGAAACTCCTGCATACAAAATCTAAAACTCCGTCAGACTGTGTTGGATCGAGTATGGTCTTCTTTAGGGATCCAACAATGCATAAGCCATTTTAAAGGAGCTGTACCACAAAATTTATGAAAATTCAAACAGTAAGAAATGCCACCAAAGTAGAAGATACAAGTAACAAGGCAAATGTAAAAGAAGGCTCGGATGGACAAAGTTTAAGAAGATTGAAACGGATTGCAATTCTGGGTTTTTAAAACTAATTAGCCTGACAGTTATTTAAAGTTGTTTGCAACGTTTGATATAATGCTTAGAAGGCATAATGTTTGACAAGAAATTGTAAGTTTGTCATTTACAAGTGATTTCTTTGCTAAAGTTAAGTTTCGTAGCGCATTAACACAATGAACTAGAGCCTCCTCTCCTACAAAACCCAGTGAAAAAAAAAACAAAACAACAACTCGTCAGGTTTATCAAACTTTTTGGTACGTTTGTAGCCGCCCACGGCTTACTGCACGACAACAACGTGGCATTCTCTAATGCAACGTTTTATGGGGTGTTAACCCGTAAGCTGAACATTCGTTAAGGAATTCTACTCTTGGTAAAGTCACCTGCATTTGACATATTGAACAATTTGGAAAAATCCGATGACAATTCGATGTTTGAAAGGATGCGAAATTCGTCTTATTGGTAACTCTTTGCTACTGTCGCCTTTGTGATTGCTAAGCGATTGCAAAGCCGCTTGTGGTCACTTTAAAGGATCAAAATGCTGTTTGAAAGCATTTCACGACCATTATGTGATGCTTTGTATTTTTACTATTATCAGAGCTGGAGGAGAGGATTCAGCGTTTTCTAATGCAAGCATAATTCATCAGCTTCGTGAGCAAGTATCGCAGTTGCAAGTGATTGTACAAGAGAAGGAAGAAAACGAGAAGGCAGCAGCGCAGAAACTAGCGATGTACCAGAATCAACTGCACGCCAAAAACAATGAAGTTGCTACTTTAAAGGACCAATTGCAGGCACAGGTTTGTCCTAAATATTGCCAGTGGACATACTCTCCATGATGCCTATACAGGGAGGCCCCGCCCAAAAGGGGTACCTTTTTTCAGACGTTGGGTATATGTACAGAGTAAGGATTTCGTGAGTTGCAGTATATGAAAGGGTAGGGAAAATTGTCTTCTTTATGGGTGTTCAGAAGGGGCTTCAACTTGAGTATTTCGAGCCGACGCATCTTACGGCCATATCAGTTTAATTTATCAAACGCTACGCAAGAAGATTAACTGATAGTAGGTATGAGATAGGGGTACCATTTCTCAATGGAAGGTATACGAAAAGGACTACTTTTTTGTCGAAAATGGTATATTAAAAGGTAACAGTTTGGATAAGGCCTTTACCTATGGAACGTTGTTGAATACTGATTACAATTATGAAAGGGGTTTTGACGGTGTTTTAACTAGCCGGCCGTAAGCAAGATTGTAGTTGTTATTATGATTAATAAACATCGTACTTGTTCTCAATGAGAGATGGCAAAAGCACGGTGGAACAGTATTATTTATAGCCGAAGTGTGATGAAACAGGGAATGATTACAAGCAGAATATTTTCAATCTGCGTGTTGCTTCATGTGCTTCAAGCGCTGGCAACCGGAATTTTACTTTAGTTAAACAGAAAGTAGATTTTACAGTAAATTAAAGGGGAGAATTTTTCAAGGCTTTTTTTCTTCAATGGAGGAGGAAGGATTAGCACAGTTGGTTAGTACGCGGCCTTCTGTGCGGGAGGTCCTGAGTACGATTACCAGGTGTGACCTCAAATCCTTCTTTCGACTTCTTTCCTTTCCGTGTAGCTTTAAGTAGCTTTAAATACCCCTAAAACGGAGCAGTCATGGAGAGAGGGCGAGGGTGGATTTCCACTGTCGCGTAATTTTTATCGTGCGAACGCGCGTAAATAAAATAGAGACAATGTGTGGAAGGTCACGCCTAAAGGTAAAAGGTAATCCTTGCTCAACTTTCACGTTTACGCGTGGCCTCTCATACCTTATAGGGCCGTTTATACGAGAGAAAACAAGCCGCGGCTTACTCTCGCCTCTGGTTAAATAAGCCGCGAACATCCCGTATAAATGGTACAAAATCTACGTTCACGGCTTATTCAACCCACGGCTACTTCGAGCCGTGGCTCATCCTGGCCGAGGAGTTTTGGGTTGGGCTTATCCAAGCCGTGGCGTAAAACGTTGTCCGCGGCATGTTCCGCGGCATGCTGTCGGCAAATGCTACGCATGCTCTGTTTTCAATTATATCCCAGATCTTCATGGCTGAGAGACGCGCGCTGCAGTGGCGGGAAAGTGACCTGCTGCACGAGAAAACTCAAAATTTTGTCTAAACAACACCTCATCCATATGCATCCCTGGAACATCTCTTTCAAACCACTCGATTGATCGATGACGAACTTTTCGTCGAGGTTTCCGACAAGTTTCGCGACAGCGCAA